CCTTCCTCTACCCAAGGCCACAGCTCCTGCCAAGAAGCTCCCTCTCTTGTAGGCCTCAGAGTGTTAACAGACCAGAACTGACACCCTGTCCACAGCTTTGCAAATGATGTCTTCATTAAACTCTTTTGGATTACCAAGTGTAAGTGTGCACCAGATCCCTGCAAGGACCCTAACCAACAGAGCAATCACAATCATCATCACCATCATTGCCATCATCTTATGATTCTGCTGAGGAAGAGAATAGTATGGAAAAGTCTCTGGCCCCGCTGTTTCACCAACACCATTCTAGGTGGTTTGTCAGGGCAGAACTAGGACAGCCTATAGGAGGGGTATCAGACCAGCCAGGGATCACAGCAACAGCACCTCTTCCTAGCCCTGAGGACCAGGAAAAGCAACTTCCCCAGCAGAAGGCAACCCTAGCTCTAAAAGCCAACGTGGGGGCGAACACAGTCAGCAGCTCGCTCACACACACGCACACACACATACACTCCAGCACTTTCTCTTTCTTGCCAGGAAGAAACAGCCCAGGGGAACAGTTCCTGGTTCGAGCTCCAGGATGCTGGCAAAGGCCGATGGCCCTGTGCTCTGGTAGCAAGTCTGCGTACACAGTGCAGCTGTTCTCCCCTCCATCCTTCCACAACAGTCGCGCGGTGGGCAGTAGAGCTTTCCAGGGGTAGCTTCTATTTTCAAACACCCTGACAGCTGGGCCACCACCAGCACAGCTGAGTTCCATGCTGAGCTCCTAGGCTCAGGAGAAGGTTGCTGACTCAGGGCAGCCTGCCCACACACCTATCAACGGGAGATGGCCTGGGTTGGCAGCCAGTACACTATGGTCTGGATTCCAGGCACACTTGGGGCTCCTGCCTGACCTCAGGCACCTCAAGTTCCCTGGAGCCTCACTGCTTGGCCTGACCAGGTGGGCTTGAGACAGACAGTGGTTGGCCAGGTAGCCTGGGGAATCAAATAGATCTGAGTTCTAACCCACCCCACCACTTTCTAGATATGTGAGCTTGGGCAAGTCGCAACTTCTCCACTCCTTCTTCTTCAGCTCTAATATGGAGAAAGACAGCCTGGATTGGCGACACTGCGAAGACTGAATCAGCTCGTTAATATACCCTTGGTACAGTGGCTGGTGCATGGTAAGCAGGGAACACACACAGTATTTTATCACACGTTTTCATTTTGTATATTTATTATAATAATGGCTACTGAGCATGTTCAAAAGGTCACCCTGAACCACAAGGTCCAGAGTCCTTCATGTCCATAATGAGGCATTGTTTAGGTGACCAGGTCCTGGAAGAACGCCTCCCACCAGATCCCAGGGAAAACTGACCCTTATAATAGACAGTCAGCACCACTGTCCTTGCAAGAAATAGAGGTGACTCCATTGTCCACTGCCAGTTGGCCCACACTCAGTCATGCACAAGGTCACTCTGATTGGTGTGGAAGAATAATGTCTCCCATCTGAACACCAATTTTGACTTTCCAAAAGGCATTCACATCTATTAGCACCTTGCAAGGGTCCCTTGGAGGGCAACTGCAATGTGAGAGCACCACCATTCAGATCAGGCCTTCAATCCCAACTCCACTCCTGCCAGGCTGTGTTACCCCAGAGTGGTTACCTCACCTCTCTGTGCTCGTTTGCTGCCCTGTGAAATGGAAACACACTACCTCTCTCCCTGGGTATAGGGTGGTGAACTCAACATCACAGAACATTCGTTGAGCCCCTAGAAAGGTGCTGAGCAAGCCCTCAATCAGCAATCACTGTGATGATGACAATCATACTTTTATAGCAGAGAAACTGGGCCAGGCGCAGTGGCTCACACCTGCAATCCCAGTACTTTAGGAGGCCGAGGCAGATGGATCACGAGGTCAGGAGTTCAAGACCAACCTGGCCAAGATGGTGAAACCCCGTCTCCACTAAAAAATACAAAAAAATTAGCCGGGCATGGTGGCGGGCACCTGTAATCCCAGTTGAGTAGCGTGAGGCAGAGAATTGCTTGAACTCGAGAGATGGAGATTGCAGGGAGCCGAGATCATGCCACTGCACTCCAGCCTGGGCGACAGAGTGAGTCTCCATCTCAAAAAAAAAAAAAAAGAGAGAGAAAGAGAAACTGAGGCACAAGAAAGTGACTTGACCTGTATGAGACAGACCCTGTGGCTCATTAGACCTGTGGTGTGGGCCCAAACTACTCTCCAGTGCTCTTTGCAGCACAGTTATGAGTAAATAACTTAAAGTCCCACTCATCCCAAATCCCCTGAGTACGCAGTAAAATGGAGAAATGTGCCCAGACCCAGCTGAGAAGCCCACTGGTCACCTTTTCTCAGTGGCTACCACAGGAGTCCATGGAAAACCCAAAGCCGCAGACTACAGAATCTTGGAGCACTGGGAGGTGCTGCCTCCAGGCTTGGGCTGGTCCTCAGCCATACATGCGCCTCTCTGTCACTACCACTGAAGACACTGCACCATGGGAAATTCCATCAAGGGCGAAGTGGACTTCAGTGCTTCAGGAGCATCTTCCTGGTAAGGGTGGAGGGTGGAGTCCCTTCACCACCCCAACATGTTCACTGTCCACACTCGCCTAGTGTTCAGCAAGGCCAGGGGCCCACAGGCACTTCATCCCTGTATGGTCTCCCACTTTCTATGCTACAAATAACCCCTGCCTACAGCCCCACTCTAGAATAGCAGAAATAAAACTAAATCATCAACAATGAGTAGTCCCCACTACCCAGAGGCAGGCACCCTGCTCTGGACAACCCCAGCATAAGCTGTCCATCCACCCACCACGAGGGAAGGGGTAACAGACCCAACACCTTCTGTAGAATCCCAATCACCCACGTCACCCTCCCTGCAAGCCCAGAAACACCAGTTCAACAAGTTTCCCTCGGGACTTGGAAAACCAGAGAATGAAGACAATGTGTTTAAAGCACTTATTTCAAGAGACTATACAGTCTGTTACAGTTCTTTAAATATCTGTGACTCTCTTCTAGGTGAGGCTGTTTTCCACAAGTGAGATGTGTGTGTCCCTCAAAACGATGTCCAGGACCGGGCATGGTGGCTCACACCTGTAATCCCAGCACTTTGGGAGGCTGAGGTGGGTGGATTGCTTGAGGCCAGGAGTTTGAGATCAGCCTGGCCAACATGGTGAAACCCCACTCTACTAAAAATACAAAAATTAGACAGGCATGGTAGTGTGTGCCTGGGATCCCAGATACTCTGGGAGGCTGTGGTGGGAGGATTGATTGAGCCCAGGAGATAGAAGCTGCCATGAGCCAATATGGTGCCACTGCACTCTGGCAACAGAGCAAGACCCTGTCTCAAAAAAAAGAAAAAGAAAAAACGTTTAGGATCAAAGGACTATGGTCTGGGCCTGCAGCCCTTCACATGCCCATTCAAAAATTCCACAAATACCTAATAAGCACCTACTATGTACCATGTACTGAAATAGTAAAACTCTGTCAATAAAGGTGGGTAGATTCTGATACAAGAGTGCATTTAACCCCACAGACCCTTCTCAAGCACCTACTGTGTGCCAGGCAGCATCACGCCAGGCACTGAAGACAAAGTAGCACAGGGCCTCAGTGCCTCAGTCTGACCCTTACGAGCTGAGTCGGTCCCAGAGCTGGGGTGGGCAGAATGCAGGCAGGCCCTCGGTAGTCTGCCCTGGTCTTCCCCTGCCTCAGTGGAGAAGTTTAGGCAACAGAGGAGCCCTTTCCCTTATCTCCCCAGGAGAGAAGAGGCTAGTCAAGGGGACAGGGACCCCGGACCGATCAGGCCTCCAAAACAGGGTCTGCTCCTGCAATCAAGGTCTCCACATGCAAACTTACTGCTCGAGCTTGACAATGTCCATCTGTAAACTTACAAGACTTTTCATAAAATAACGTGAAAGTTACTCAACACCTGGTATACAAATGCTTGTCAATAATAGTGCAAAAATGCTTAAAAACAGGAGCTACATTTATTGAACCCTTTCCACAACGCCACGTGTAGCAAAATGGTCTGCAGGGGATGGGCTGGATTCACCCAAAAAGCCCCAAGGGTGTCAGGGTTTCTACTTAGCCCTTCTCCATACCGGCACTGTTCTAAAGGTTTCAGGTTAATTAATTCATTTTATTCTTCCCCAAAACTCAACGAAGGAGAGGTATAATTGCTCCCATCCTACAGATGAGAAAACGAAGGTCTGCGATCTTCCCAGCTGTGTGACCTTGTACAAACGACTAGGACTGCCGGCCTCTGATCCAACGTCAGGCTCCCAAATGCACCTCCGCGTTTAGCAAATGAATGAACGACCGAACCAGGAATCACTCCTAAGGCCAAGAAGGCCACATCCTTCCCCGTGGGGCCTCCTTTTCCTAGGCCAAACCTCCAGCCCAGGCCCGAGCTCCGGCCTCTACGGCCTAAGTCGACTCTCGGCCGGCGGGTTCCGCCCTAGAAGGCTCTGGCACAGGCGGGCGGTGCCGGGCGCCAGCTTCTGCGGGCGTGGGCCGGCCACGACGCGTGGGCCTGGGGACGCGGGGCCACGGTCGTCACGTGAGCTCATCCCCGCGGCGGCAGCGTGGCCGGCACCCGCCTGCTGGCCTGGTCCAGCGAGCGTGGGCGGCGAACGGGTCCCCGCCGGATCCACGCTGGTGGCATCCAGGGCCAGAGGGCGCCGCCGGGGAAGGTCACCTAGACGCGCGGCCCGCCGGGCCTCCACGCGGCCGCCCTTGCCCTTCCGCCCGCAAGCTCGGGCCGCCTCTCGCCGCCAGCCGCAAGCGTCTCTGGACCCTCGGCCTCGCGGTCCCCAGCCCGGACCCGTTCGGCGCCCGCCTGCGCGGCCTTCTCTGCCCGCCAGCTAACCAGCCAGGCCCGCGCCGGCCGCTCGGGCTCCCTCCCCGGGGTCGGACTCCCGAGGCCCCTCGCCCGCTCCTCCCTCAGCGCCTCCCTCTCAGTTCCCCAGGGGCCCGGCCCCCGCCGTCCAGGGCGCAAGGGAGCCAGGGTCCTTTTCCGCTGCGCCTACCTCAGAGGCGGTGGCGGCGGGCTCGGAGGCGGCTACGGCGGGGGCTGCGGCGCGGAGGCAGGGAGCGGAGCCGAGCAAGCGGCGGGGCCAAGGGCGGGGCGGCGCGGACGGCGGCGGCGCGGACCCGCCTCCCTTCTCGCGCGCCGGGTCCGGCGCGCTCCGCCCCCAGGCCCCGCCCGGGAAAGCGTCCGGGCCGGGCCGGGGTCCCCGTCCCGCTCGCGAGTCGCGTTCTTACCCTTCCGGGCCCCGCGGCCCCGGCAGCAGACACGGGAGCCTGCGGGCGCGTTGCGGGCGCGCGGGAGGACCTGCGTGAGCCCGGGCACGGGGAGGCGCGGTACTGACGTGTGCACCGTGTGTGCGTGCGCAGGGACACGCGGGTTCTTGCTGGAAACCTCGGCCCCAGTGGCAGCGCTCGGGAAGGGGGAGGAGGCCTTCCGATTCTCTGAGCGGTGGCCCCGAGGTCCCTGCGCTAATGGAAGACGCGCGGGGCTTCTGGGCCTCCTGGTTGGCCTCCGCGCTGCTAGATCCCCCGGGAGTTGATGCGGCCGGCGCTGGACTCGAGCCTTGCCTGGGTGGACGAAGTGACCCCCGGCCCCCCATCAAAGCCCGGGTGGGCCCCATCCCCCGAGGTCAGTCTCAGGCCCAGCGCGGACACTGGGCGCTGGGGGCGGCGCAGATACTGAGTCGCAGCGGCGACTGTTGCTCCAGAGCTCCGCGCTCCGGATACAATGTGTCTGGCGCCTCGGACCCGCCCGCATGGCGTCTAGACAATCGCGGAGAAAACCCCTGTGTGCCGATTTTGCGCCGCAGATTAGCGATTTTCTCCTGTAGCAAAGCTACTAACAGCCAATTTCCATGCATTTGAGAGGCAAAATAATACAATAAAACGTGAATTGGGTTTTGCGAGGCTCCTGCTGGGGCTCTGGGCGCGAGGAAATCACGCCGGTTCTGGCCGGCCGGCCGGCTGAGGGCACCGCGGGGAACACGCGACCAGCCGGGGCCTGTGCTCCTGTGGGACCCAGTTAGTATGTGTTGAGTGAACGGTCACCTTCTCCTTGCTAGGCCTAAGCGAGTGGTCTCGTTCACCACTGAGTGTTCCCTGTGTTCCGCGCGAGGCCCACTTGAAGCGGGTTTCGAGAATTAATTCGTAGATGGACGAAGCTTCTGCACACCCTTCGCCTTTGATCAACAAACGTCCTCGAATGCTTCAGGCGTCTAGGGCCCTGTGGAGGAGGTGCCGGGTTACAGAATCAGGACACTCCTCACAGCCAGCAGCGACACTAGCTAAAGCAGTAGGCAACTGGGGCTGCGGAGGAGGCAATCAGGACTGGCTGCTGGAAAGAGACGGCAGATTAAATGTGAACGTGGCGACTTGAGTTAGAAAAGTTGTTCCAGTGGGATAGGGTGCTGAGGAAGAGGGCAGCTGATACAGAGTGGAAGTGGGGTGCAGACAGGGTGCCTAGGCCCTGTGTAGGGGCTGGGGGAGGGGTGACTGGGAATGTAAAGAAGAGCCTCCTTCAAGATCCTAGGGAGTGTAGGACGGATTCTATGACCCTCCCAGGCCCACGAGTTGCCTGGGGACTCTGGGCTTCCCAGCCTAGTGGTCCCCACTCCACACACAGAGACTGGTGGGCAGGGGAAGGACAAGAACTCAGGGAGGCCGGGTCTCCAGGAACCTCACTGGGCTAGGAACAGATGCCAGTGCAGCCCAGTTTTGAGGCTGGGAGCAAATTTCGAAGGGCTTCCTCCCCTCCAGAGCCACCTCTCAACTCCGCTTTCAAGAACCAATCTGGGCCGGGCGCAGTGGCTCATGCCTGTAATCCTAGCACTTTGGGAGGCCGAAGCGGGCAGATTACTTGAGGCCAGGAGTTCGAGACCAGCCTGAGCAACATGGCAAAACCCTGTCTCTACTAAAAATACGAAAATTAGCCGGGCGCGGTGGCGCGCGCCTGCAGTCCCAGCTACTCCGGAGGCTGAGGCATGAGAATCGCTTGAACTTGGAAGGAGGAGGTTGCAGTGAGCTGAGATCGAGCCACTGCACTCCAGCCCGGGTGACAGAGTGAGACTGTCTCAAAAAACAAACAAACAAAAAACAACCTGGGGAGAGTTCTCCATGGGCTCTGCTACACTGGGCCCCTTTACCAGCTCCCCTAGGTGCTAGTTTCGGATTAACCGTGCACTTACTGGCTGCGTGACCCCGTGCAAGAAGGCTGGCCTCTCAGAGCCTCAGCTTCAGAGTATTGGTGTAAGTTTAAAACGGAACACATAAAGAGTAGAAACTTGGCCTGGTGCGGTGGCTCACTCCTGTAATCCCAGTACTTTTGGAGGCCAAGGCGGGCGAATCACCTGAGATCGGGAGTTCGAGACCAGCCTGACCAACATGGAGAAACCCTGTCTCTACTAAAAATACAAAAATTGACCGGGCGTGGTAGCACATGCCTGTAATCCCAGCTACTTGTGTAGCTGAGGCAGGAGAATTGCTTGAATCCGAGAGGCAGAGGTTGTGGTGAACCGAGATCTTGCCATCGCACTCCAGCCTGGGCAACAAGAGTGATACTCTGCCTCAAAAAAAAAAAAAAAAAGAGTAGGCACTCAGTAACTGGGCCAGGCTTGGAGGCACACATGGGTAATCTCAACTGTTTGGGAGGCCAAGGAGGTAGGATGGCTTGAGGCCAGAAGTTCGAGGCTGCAGTGAGCTAGCATTCCACCACTGCACTCCAGCCTGGACCACAGAGCGAGTTCTTGTCTCAAGAAACAGTACTAGTAATTTTTTTTAAAGAGAAAATCAGCTGAGATCTGCAGGTCCCATAACCACTAGAATCCATTGACCCACCACAACTCTGAGGAGGAGGGGAACCCTCTAAGCCCCATCTCCACTCCATCTGCCACAGCTGATTGGGCCGGGGTTGGGCCCCTGACCCAAGCCAGGTCAATCAGATCCTCTCTTGCAATTCTGAACTGAGAAACCCAGAGATGAGTACACCAGAGGGGAAAATGCAGGAGCTTTCAAGGCCATTGGGTAGATCTGGGTCTGGCATCCCTGTCCACGTTGGGAAACTAACGAGGGCATTTCACAGAGCAGAGAATGGAGCAGCCACTGCAGAGGGTGGCTGTGGGCCCTTGTTCCTTGAGTGCTCCCCTGTTCTTGTCATGTGTGGGTTTCCCTATGCCACTTCAATAACCCCACTTGAGCTTGACCCAGCTAGAGCAAGTCCCTGGTGAAGACAGTCAAATCTTGGTGGGTGGAGAAGGAGGTTTGTGAGGATAGGACAATCCCAACGTCAGTTTTTCTCTGTTTCCCTCTCCTTTCCGTCAGCAAACTTTCATGGAGCTGACTCCATCTCTGACTCCAAAGCCTTCCTGGGAGTGGCCTCATGGCCCAGCCTGACCAATTAGAGCCCTGTATACCTCTCCTGCCCCTGCCTCCCCGTCCCCACCCCATCCCCGCCCCACAGGGATGGACCAATGAGACCAGATGAGAATTCCTGGGGCTACGGAAATGAAGACTTTCCCTGAAAATGAAGTCAGGCCATAAGAGAAAGGCAGAGATGAGGTCCTGAATCTAGCCATGCCTGAGCCTACAACCTATACTTACCAGCTGCCTGAGCCAACGGATTCCTGTTTTGCCTAGTCCAGTTTGAATTGTTTCTTCCAGATGCTAACTCAGTTCCTCTCCTCCCTTCAAGCAGAACAATGTAAAGCATCCAGGGAAAAATGAGGTTTTTCTTTTATTGTTAATATTAGAATGGGTTACCAATGTAAGACTCTTTCATTTTAGGGAGTTTTTGGTTTTTTTCTTGTCTCTAACTTACAGCCTTAGGGCTTCTACTGTAGATATTTATCAAAGTGGAAAGCAGCCAATTACCCTTTCAAGAACACAGGTTGAAACACTCCCAACTCTTCTGTTTTCAGAGCCAGATGTCGCTGGATTTCTATGTGGTTTGTTAGCATTGTCTATGCCAAGTACCAGAGCTTGAAGATGAAGTTCATGAAGGCAGCAATAGTAGTAACTTATGTATATTATTTTTTAAAGAGAAAATATTCTGCTTGTAATCAGCATCAATTAATTGGATGATAAAGTTGCATTGTCATAAAACCTAGCCTTCCGATCATTTTCCAGCGAACTTCTCAGACTAGAGTTTGAGTAGGAAGAATCAAGATGGCGTATTTGTGGTCAAGGATCTCTGGCCGCACTCCCCACATTGTGCCCTGACACTCAGCATCCAGGGAAGGACCCAGCCAGGCCTCCAGGTTCTGAGTGACAGCAGTAATCACTTGGGGAAACGAACAGAAACCATCCCAAGATAAACACAATCAATAATGTTCTCCTGCATATCCCAAAACATGAGGTGTCCTAAATCTAGTCTAAAACAATTCCAAGAAGTTCCAACATCATAGCTATGATTTTTAAGAATTATATAATTAAGAATTATATATATAAATATATATATATAAAATTCTTTAAAATCTCCAAATATGCTTTAATGAGGACATAATACCTTGATTATAAAAAGAGCAGGCCGGGCACGGTGGCTCATGCCTGTAATCCCAGCACTTTCGGAGGCCGAGGCGGGTGGATCACGAGGTCAGGAGATCGAGACTGTCCTGGCTAACCCGGTGAAACCCCGTCTCTACTAAAAAAAAATACAAAAAAAAAAAAACCAGCCGGGCGAGGTGGCAGGCGCCTGTAGTCACAGCTACTCGGGAGGCTGAGGCAGGAGAATGGCGTGAACTCGGGAGGCGGAGCTTGCAGTGAGCCGGGATCCCGCCACTGCACTCCAGCCTGGGCGACAGAGCGAGACTCCGTCTCAAAAAAAAAAAAGAAAGAAAGAAAAAAAAGAACGAACTTTTTTCAGCTTTAAGAAAGTCATATGAGGTTCATCAGGACATGTGTAAAGTGATACAATCCTTCTGAAAAGCAATTAGGCTATATGCGATAAGAATCATAAACCTATTCCACCCCCCTTGACCTGCTGCTGGGAACCCACGCTAAGACGATCATTGTAAGTATGGGGAATGCCTGCTGCAGGAAAATGGACAGCAGCCCAGGACGGAACACAACCTGGTTTCCAGCTTGGGCATATTGAATCACTCACAACCTTGAGGAAATATGGTTACAAAAACT